GGAGCGGAGGGAGGTGGGGAGGGGGATTGCAGTGGAATGGAGTGCAATCGATTGCAAGCGATTCGATTGGGATTTTCGATCGTCAATCGTTGATCGTCGATCGTCCATCCTCGATCGTGGATTGTTCATTTTGGATCGTCGGCGAAAGGGAGGGCGGAGGCTCCGGGGGCTGGGCGGCCAAAGGGGGCAAGGGGGGGGGCTTCCAAGCCCCCCCCCCCTTTGGCACAAAGGGGGGGAGGGGGGGGGAGCTTCCAGCAGGGCGGCTCCAAGGGAGGGGGGGGTAGCTTAAGCACCCCCCTTTGGAAAGGGGGGTAGGGGGGGGTAGCTTCCGGGGCGGCCAAAGGGGGGGGGGGTGGGTAGCTTCCAAGCACCCCCCCCCCTTTGCACGAAAGGGGGGAGGGGGGGGTAGCTTCCAGCAGGGCAGCGCCAAGGGAGGGGGGGGGTAGCTTAAGCACCCCCCCCTTTGGAAAGGGGGGGAGGGGGGGGTAGCTTCCGGGGAGGGCCCAAGGGGGGAGGGGGGGGTAGCTGTAAGCCCCCCCCCCTTGCAAAAAAAAGGGGGGGGTGCTTCCAACAAGGGCGGCTCAAGGGAGGGGGGGGTAGCTTAAGCCTAGCCCCCCCTCCCCTTTGCTCGGGCCCTGCGGGCGCGCTCTCTCATGTAGAGGAGGATAAAGAGGAGGAGGAAGATAACGAGAAAGAAGAGGAGGAGGAGGAGGAGGAGGTAGCAGGAAGAAGCAGGACGGAGGGGGGAGCGAGGAGGGAGGAAAGTGGAGGAGCGCGGGGGGAAGGGGGGAAGGTCTCAGGTCTCAGGTCTGCGAGCGTTTGACGGAACCTTCGGGGTGAATAATTGGGGTACTCGTAGGGAGGGGGGGAAGGGGGAGGGAGGGGAAAGAGGAGGAGCAGGATGATCTTTCGTCGGGGGTTCCGCATGGGTAATTGATTGAACCAGAGATTCACCCTGCTGCTCGCATGCGGACTGATGTAGCTCCGTGCGCGACGGGCAGGGAGGGGACAGGGCGAGGGACGGGCCAGGGGATGACACGATGAGGATGACAATAGTGATGATGCTTCTGCTGGTGATGGTGATAGTGGTGGGTTGGTGAGGTGATAGTGGTGGTGCTGGTGATGGGTGGTGATGTTGACAATGACGGCCGCGACGACGATGACGGTGATGGTGACGGTGATGGTGATGGTGATGGTAATGGTGGTGGTGATGGTGATGGTGATGGCGATGGAGAATCATGCTGATGCTGCTGATGATGATGCTGATGCTGATGATGATGATGATGATGCTGCTGCTGATAATGATGATGGCGATGATGATGGTAACGGTAATGATAATGGTGATGTTGATGATAGTGATGATGATGTTGATGATGATGTTGACAACCACGTTGTCAGCGCCGACGATATACTTGACGTTAGCGTTGGTGGTTGTTTTCGAAGTTGTACCTTGCACGTCCATCATACCTCTTTTTGTTCGGAAGCTTGTCGGTTCAGTTTGGCGGAACATCCCGTTGTGCTGTTTCTGGGCATGTCGCCGTCGTCCTCGTCTCCCCTCCCAATTCCCTCTTCTTCTCTCCGTTCCACCCTTCCCTTCCCTGCTCCTGGTGTTCCTCCTGACATGTCGCAGTCGTCCCTCCTCTCCCCTCCCAAATCACCCTTCCTCTCTCCGATCCAACTTTCCCTCCCCTCCTCGCTCTTCCTCAACGCCTACCTAACTTCTCCTCCTGATCCTGCTTCGCCTCCGTCGTTCCTCTTCTTAGGCAGGCCGCAGGCGCGAGCGCGAAGCGTCAGTCGGCCGATCGCGACAGGCCCGCACCCTCGCGCATACGTAAGACACCAGGCGCAGGGAGCAGCGAGTAGAGCAACACGGGATGGCCCGCGGCGAAAGCCACCGAGCGAACAAGGGCGAGAAAGAGAAGCGAGCCCATGGATGATTGAGCCGCCCTCGTTCCTCCTCGCCTCCCTCCCCTTCCTCCCCTCCCCCCCTCGCGTCGCGCGGGGCAGGGGTGGTCCAGTCGCAGCGTGTGTACAGGCTCTGCGCGTCTGCACGGGCACGGCACGGCCGGGTGCGAATCTCTCTCGCGCGGCCTCTCCTTTCTTTGTGTAGCGCGCCTACACGGACACGACACGGCTGGGCGCGAATCTCTCGCGCGCCCTCTCTCCTTTTTTTTCCCCTCTCTCTCT